CTCGTACTCAGGGGAGCTGCTGACTGTCGTGGATCGGTAGAGCCGCTTTTGGGACGATAAACTCAAGGTGTCAAATTGTCACGTGGTATGACTGAATAACTGCGTGATGCAGTTCTTATCTCTGTGTGATTCTGCTCGCCGGGAGGTGCTTTGACCCGATCAGCTGTGAATTGACCCATTTCGTGTCTGCTGAAGAACACCTACGGCAAACTCGGACGATCAGGTGTCTCCTGCTCCAATATTCGGCACTCATCCCCCCAGCGTGCTCCGGGCAGGGACAGCGGGCACCAGTTACCAGTTTAACCGGGCTGATACAGGAGGCACAGCCCGCGGCTGGACCATCCAACCCGCCGCCCGTAGCGCCCGCCCGGCAGCCTCTGGGGTGGGAAAGTCGGCGGTGGCCCATCTGCAGCGCAGCTAGACCACGAGAACGGATAGGGCAGAGGGAAGCATGGAGGGGTGAAACAAGGGGAGTGGGGCACCGTGCAGGCGGCCGGGAAGGGCAGCAGGGCGGCTCCGGGCTCGAAGACAGCCCWCTGAAAGCAATGCAGACTTCCAAGACAGGTGTACTTATCCCTGTCCTTGAGGATGGCAAAATTTAATCAAAAAGCTACTCCAAGTTAACTTTCTGCCTAGTTTTTTATCCTGGGGAAATTTAAAATACGAGTCCAAGGAATACAACTGGTTCCCTCTTATATTGTAGGTGTGCATGTTAAAAATCAGAGCAGAGAAGCTATTCTGCATTGTGTCAGGAAAACACTTCCAAAATAAAAGAAAGTCTATTTCAATTATCTAGAAGGAAGAAGGGGTTTTTTACAACCAGTGTGGTAACGCACTGGAAGAAGTTACCCAGAGAAATTGTGGCTGCCTCATCTTTGGAAGTGTTCAAGGCCAAGTTGGACAGGACTTTGAGCTACCTGGTCTGGTGGAAGGTGTYCCTGCCCATGGCAAGAGGGTTGGAATTAGATGATCTTTAAGGTCATCCTCCAAACCAAACTGGTCTATGATTGCTTCCTGCGGTTTATAGGGTTTATATTCAAATATATACAGCTAACTTCTGTCCAAAAGGAATTATTTCAGATTTAGGCTTGCCACCATTACCATTATCAATGGATTGTYTCACAAGTGAGTATTCGGTCTCTGGAACCTTTCGCAGCCTGCAGGCATTTGCATTCCCTTTTCCAGGTTCCATACCTATGCAAAAAGATGAAGGACTCTAACTCGCRTTAGTGTGGCTCTTTGTAAAGAACTAACACAGAATTATATCGTCTCGACTTCTAACAAAACATGGACACGGAGGTACCAGGACAAAAATTGTACGATGACTTAAAAAATTTCCTATTATGGAGAGAAGAGGGGGGTTCCCCGACGGCAGGGATCTGCCGAGGGTGCTCCTGCTCCAGCTCCTCACCGGGGAGTTACTGCAGGGTCTGTAGGGAGCCCGACTCGGCTACCCCACATACCTGGCAGATAGGCTGCCATGGAAAAGCGMGCCTTACTTTAGGGRGGAAGAAAGGGCGTTAATGACTGGSAAACTTAATTAATGAGGGCAGAATTAATTCAGGGAGGTTTWTTTCGCCTGTAACTTCACGCCTTTTCTATTCAAATAAGATGTGATCTCATGTATCAAGGCAMAGATGTGCCTTTCGGCTTGTCCAGTTACACTGCATAAGAAAATGCTCCAAGAAACACATCCCAGGTCATGTCAAGGTTTGAAAATTTATGGGCAATCTTTCTCTGTATTCATCCTGCATGAAATATGGCCCTGATAAYACATCTTCCAAGGCACACGTTGAAAAATAGGGTTGCTGTTAACATAAAAAATACCAAAATATCTTCAAATGGCAAGAATTATTACGGTGGATGAGAACATCACATTTATCAGGACTGCCCTCAATACGATGGCAGTAGGACAGTTGTGAAAATAATTCAAACTCTCTCAAACCCAACACCTATTTCTAGGAAAAACTATATTGGCTTTACAGCTTTCCTCTATATTCCGATGCACTGAGGGTCGGCTTAAATTTAAACACATCGTTATTTATTAAAACCAACTTGCCAAAGAGGCAAAGCACAGAGAACGGAAGGCAAAAGAATCCTGAGAGGCAGCGACAGCGGCAGCCAGAGGGGAAAAAAAAAATCTCTCTCGGTACGCGGTGATGCTTCACTCCAGCTGGGAGCGCGGATTCACCGAATCATTCCGCGGCGTTCCCTCGGGATAGTTGGTGACCGGGTGCGCCGCGGGCGGGGGAGAGGGGAGAGCAGGAGCAGCGGGGACGGCTCCGACCTTTCAGGTAGCACTATGGGGTAAGAAGCTGGGACTGTGAGGCAGAGATGATGACTTATTCCTCCGAAGGTWTGTCCCAAATCTCCCTACAGAAGAAGACGCTTGTGCCTCGCAGAGTGTTACAGGGTATCTCGGCACAACAGTAAATACTCTGTCCCTTTCTCCTCTTTAGTAATCTCCTCTGCTCAAGGATGTGCATTTCTGATGTTGTCCAGAGGAG